TATTGATGCGGGTTAGTATACAGAAAGCTTGACAGGATCATGACCCAGAGGGTGGTGATGTGTCAGAAGGTAGGGAAGGGGTTACTCTTCCTCCTGGTTCTAAAGGGCAGAGTAATCTGTGTGTAAGAGATTAAGGCAGTAGTCGTTAAGGGCGGAGGCCTGCAAGAGAGAGGAGGCCGCTATGACCAGCGGCATAAAAAGAACCGAGCAGAGTCTGCTCTTGGGGAGAAAAGTATCCGTTCTACTTGTCTGTGGATACTGGTGGTGTTTCCCCCGAGTTGGTGGATTATGGTATCCAGAACTCTTGTAAGCCTTGTGGAACCTAGAACCAAGAAGATGATTGTGTTCATGAACCTCGTTGTGTTTGGAGCCTGCTACAGCTTGGAGCTCTGTCTGCTGACCTTGTGTGTATCTTTGTGCTGTGGACCTTGGCTTTGGAACTCTGGATTACACCTAGACTCGGATGATTTGGTGTCGACCTTTGGAATGAACTATTAACTACGAGTTCTGAAACACCCTTGCGTAGTTTGCTGTACTCATCTGCATTGGCTTGGACCCTGGACTGGTTGAGGACGAGAGAGTTATGAGTGGCTGTTTACAATACGGCCTTCGTGGCAACCTGCTCTAGAACAGTGGTTCTCAACCCTCCTAATGCCACGACCCTTGATACAGTTCCTCATGTGGTGGTGACCCCCAACCAGAACATTATTTTCGTTCCTACTTCATAACTGTCATTTTACTACTGTTATGAATCGTCATGTAAATATCTGAGATGCAGGATGTGTATTCATTCACTGGACCAAATACCTGATAGGCCCAAATTTGAATACTGGTAGGGTTGGGGGGAAGATTGATTTTGTTATTTGGGAGTTGTAGTTGCTGGGATATATAGTTCACCTACAAACAAGGAGAATTCTGAACTCCATCAAAGATGGAATTGAACCCAACTTGGCACACAGAACTCCTATGACCAACAGAAAATACTGGAAGGATTAGGTGAGCATTGACCTTGAGTTTTGGAGTTGTAGTTCACCTACATCCAGAGAGCACTTTGGGCTCAAACAATGATAGATCTTGGCACGAATACTCAATATGCCCAAATGTGAACACTGATGGAGTTTGTGGAAAATATACCTTGACATTAAGAAGTTGTGGTTGCTGGGATTTATAGTTTGCCTACAACCAAAGAGCATTCTGAACTCCACCAGTGATGGAATTGAACCAGACTTGGTACACGGAACTCCCATGACCAACAGAAAATACTGGAAGGGTTTGGTGAGTTGTAGTTACTGGGGATTCACAGTTCACCTACAATCAAAGAGCATTCTGAACCCCAACAATGACAGAATTGGGGCAAACTTCCCACACTGAACCCCCATGACCAACAGAACCTCCATACTTAAGGCCATCTAGTCCAACTCCCTTCACCAGAGCAAGAAACGTAATCAAAGCCCTCCTGACAGAGAGCCATCCAGCCATAGATATAGATATAGATATATATGATTCACACACAGAGAGATATAGTATCATAGATTTGAAAGGGACCCCTACAGCCCTAATAGATAGATATGATTCACACACACAGAGATATAGTATCATAGATTTGAAAGGGACCCCTAAAGAAGGACAATGATATGTTACATGTTCCAGGGTGGGCAAACCAGACACTCTCCACATCAACACTGACAAAGAAACAGCAAGAAATACTGTTTACCCACAAGCATAAACACATCACATAGATTAGAAACCAACACATTCTCATTATTTTCCAGATCGACAGACTGGGCCACAGCAACGTGTGGCAGGGGACCGCTAGCATAGATATAAATAGATAAATATATGGCTGGAGTTACACCTCAAAAACGTCCCTGTTCCAATTTACGTACAAATCCAACTTAAGAACAAACCTGCAGGGCCTCTCTTGTTTGTATTTTATTATTTATTTATTACGGTCGCTTCTACCCCGCCCTTCTCACCCCGAGGGGGACTCAGGACGGCTTACACAACAAGGCACCAATCAGATGTTTGGAAACCAAGCCCTAGTGGCTCAGGGAGCTGGGTATATATAGCTTGGAGAAAGAAGGCTGAGATATGATTGTGGCACAGCTGGCTGAGTGTCAGCTGCATTATGATCACTCTGACCAAAAGGTCATGAGTTCGAAGCCAGCCCGGTGGAGTGGGTGTCCAGCCATTGTGTAGCCTGTTGTCGACCTTTGCAACCCGAAAGACAGTTGCATCTGTCAAGTAGGAAAATAAGGGACCACCTTGTGTGGGAGGCTAAATTTAACTAATTTATGAGGCCATAAAGAAAAAGACTCCGGGGAATGTGGAATGCGGAAGAACTTCATCGGTGTCGTTGATGGACGATGAAAAGCAGCAGCTCCCCTGGCGGCCAGAAAAAGTTAAATAGCCTTGGTATATTTGTCTGTATTTGTTGTCTGTCAAACTGGCATTGAATGTTTGCCATATATGTGTTGACTGTAATCCGCCCTGAGTCCCCTGCGGGGTGAGGAGAAGGGCGGAATATAAGAACTGTAAATAAATAAATAAATAAATAAATAAACATCAATAACAATAGCAATTATAGCAATGATAACAATTAACATAAGCAATCATTATTATCGGCAAAACATCCAAAAAATCCATAAAAGCAATTAAAACAATTAAAACAATAAAAGCAATACAAACCTCATTGCTGGTCAGCGTTTAACAGACTCATAGTTTAGGTTCTACTTTCCACACATTGTCAGTCCTATCCATCTGGATTCCATATCTAATTGTCAGGATGCCCAAAGGCCTGGTCCCATAGCCACGTCTTTACCTTTCTCCTGAAGGCAAGGAGGGATGTTGATGTCCTGATTTCCCCCGGGAGTGAGTTCCACAGGTGGGGGCCACCACTGAGAAGGCCCTGCTCCTCGTCCCCACCAGCCTCACTTGTGATAGTGGTGGGGTCGAGAGCAGGGCCTCCCCAGATGATCTCAAATTCCGGGGTGGGACGTAGAGGGAGATCCGTTCGGACAGATACACTGGACCGGAACCGTAAAGGGTTTTGTAGGTCAAAACCAGCACCTTGAATTGTGCTCGGAACTGGATTGGCAGCCAGTGGAGCTGACACAACAGGGGGGTGGTGTGCTCCCTGTATGTCGCTCCGGTGAGCAATCTGGCTGCCGCTCGCTGGACCAGTTGAAGTTTCCGAACAGTCTTCAAGGGCAACCCCACGTAGAGTGCGTTGCAGTAGTCTATACGGGATGTAACAAGAGCGTGGACCACTGTGGCCAGATCAGACTTCCCGAGGTACGAGCGCAACTGGTGCACAAGTTTTAATTGCGCAAAAGCTCTCCCGGCCACCGCTGAGACCTGAGGCTCCAGGCTCAGCGATGAGTCCAGGATCACTCCCAAGCTGTAACTTGGGGACTGCCTGTACTTATGTTGCTGAAGAAAATAAATGAGTAATGAGAGTATAGCTCCATGATAATCCTTCCTTTCTCCCTTCTTTCCTTGCTTGCTTGCTGCAGTGCCCGGTCTACGACTTGGACAACAATGTGGCCTTTATCGGCATGTACCAGACCATGACCAAGAAGGCCGCCATCACGGTTCAGGTACGGAGGAGCCCTGCAAAGGGGGCCCTGGGCAAGTCCCTGTGTCTCTTCCTGGTTGGAAAAGGGTTATTTCCTGGTTAACGGCACCGTCCTTGCTTTGCACATCGTTGTCCTACTCCAGAAACTTTGTTTTCATGGCGTCTCGTTTGCAATGGGGTGAGACTGACTTCAGCGTGTGCAACAGACTCTGCAGGAAATGCTTTGGCTGTGCTCCATAAATGGGGAGAGCAGCCTGTTTAGCCAGCCTTTCCCATGCTGGGGCCAGTAAATGATTGATTCGGATGCCTCTTTTATGTGCGTCCCGATGCCTGGCTCCTCCTCGGAAGAGTCGCTGGGACTTCACGCCCTCGGTTCAGCCCATCAAGCACGGTCGACTGCAGTCCAGCAACCAGGCTCGTGGGGGGTGATGGCATGCGCACCAGGCCCATGTTGTGCCTCTTGCCTTTCCCTTTCTGCAGAAGAAGGACTACCCCAGCCACAGTTTCTACGTCGTGGTGGTGGTCAAGACGGAGGACGAGGCCTGCGGGGGGGCCCTGCGCTTCTATCCTTACTCCAAAGGTACGGAGGAAAGAGAGTGGCTCATTGGCCATCCGCTTGCATCCTGGGCTGGATCACAGCCACCCCACCATCTCATCCTAGAGTTGGAAGAGACCCCAAAGGTCATCCAGTCCCACCCCCTTCTGCCTTCATGCAGGAAAAGCACAATCAAAGCCCTCCCAACAGAGGACCATGTAGCCTCTGCTTCATAATAGTAATAATAATAATAATAATAATAATAATAATAATAATAATAATAATAATATCCTAAAGTTGGATGAGACCCCCAAAGGCCATCCAGCCCAGCCCCCTTCTACCTTCATGCAGGAAAAGCACCATCAAAGCCCTCCCGACAGAGGGCCATCTAGCCTCTGCTTCATAATAATAATACTACTAATAATAATAATAATATCCTAGAGTTGGATGAGACTCCAAAGGCCATCCAGTCTCACCCCCCTCTGCCTTCATGCAGGAAAAGCAACATTAAAGCCCTCCTAACAGAGAACCATCTAGCCTTTGCTTAATAATAATAATAATAACCTAGAGTTGGATGAGACCCAAAAGGTCATCCAGTCTGACCCCCTTCTGCTAGGCAGGAAGACACCATCAAAGCCCTCCCAACAGAGGGCCATCCGGCCTCTGCTTAAACACCTGCAGAGTAGGAGACTGTTACCAGGCACTGGTCTATCTTCTATCAAGCAGGACATTCTTCCTGCAGTTGAGTGGAACCTCCATGCCTTTTCCCAATGTGTTTTCCCCTCCACAGACACATTCCAGTTTCCTAGAGTGGGAAGGGGCCCCAAGGGGACCCTCCCATAACCGTCATCATAGCAATAGCTAAGCCTTGTCCTTGTCTGTCCCGCCAGATGAACCCGTGGACCAAGGCAACCGCCAGAAAACCCTAGACGTGGTCGTGTCACCAGCCGTTACCTGTAAGTAGCCCCAAAGGGTGGCTGGGTCTATTTACGCCAGGCCTGGGACAACTTGGCCCTTCCTTCCAGGGCTTTTGGACTCCAACTCCCACCATTCCTCACCGCCTCAGGCCCCTTCCCTTTCCCCCTCAGCCGCTTAAGCAACTGAAGGGGAAAGGGAAGGGCCTGAGGCCGTGAGGAATGGGGGAAAGGGAGAGAAGGAAGGAAGGAAAGGAAAGGAAAAAAAAGAAGGGAGGAAGGAAGGAAAGAAGAAAAAGGAAAGAAGGGAGGAAGGAAGGAAAAGAAAGAAAGGAAAGAAGGAAAAGGAAGGAAAAAAGAAGGAAGGAAAGGAGGGAGGGAAAGAAAGAAAGAAAGGAAGGAAGGAAGGAAGGAAGAAAAAGGAAAGAAAAGAAAGGAAGAAAAGAAGAAAGAAGGAAAGGAAGAGGAGGAAAGGAAAGGAAAGAAGAGAAGGAAAAGAAGAAGGAGAGAGAAGGAAGAGAAAGAAAGAAGGAAGGAGAAGAGGGAAGAGAAGAAAGGAAAGAAGGAGAAGGAAGAAAAGAGGGAGGAAGGAAAGGAAAGAGAAGAAGAAAGAGAAGGAAGGAATGGAAGAGAGGAAGGAAAAAAAGAGAGAAAGGAAAAGAAGAGGGATGGAAAGAAATGGGTAGAGAAAGAAGGAAGGAAGGAGAGAAAGGAAGGAAAGAAAGAAGAAAGGAAAGGGGAAGGAAGGAAAGATTTATTTATTTATTATTTAAAAGTTTTGTATACCGACCTTCTCACCTCTCTTGAGGGACTCAGACTGGTTTCCAACCATAATATCACATACAATATTATGTGATATGGTTGGAAACTGGAAGGAAGTAAAGAAAGAAAGAAGAAAGGAAAAAAGGGGAGGAAGGAAAGGAGGGCTGAAGGAAGGAAAACGGAAAAAAAGAAGGGGGGATGAAAGAAGAGAGGGAGGAAGAAAGGAAAGAAGAGAGGAAGGAAAGGAGGGGGAGGCAGAAAGAAAGGGAAGGAAAGAAGAGAGAGAGGAGGTGAGAGAGGAAGGAAAGAAAGAAGAGGAAGGAAGGAAGAGGTGGATGAGGGGGAGGCCGTTTCCATGCTTTCCCCATCTCTCCCCCCCCCCACCCTCTTCCTGCCCCCCATTTGCTGGGCCTGCACAAGGCCCCCTCCTCCTGCTGTCTCTCCCCTCCCTTCCCCTTCCCTGCAGCGCAGGCCTATGTCGGTGGGATGCTCTTCGTCCTGGGCGTCTTCCTCTCCTTCTACGTCCTGACCGTCCTCATCGCATGCTGGGAAAACTGGAGGTGAGTCCGGGCCCGCAACTCAGTTTTCTTGTTGTGTTTGCGTGACACGCCTGACACACAAACGTGTTGCAACACACCGTTTGCAAAGCTCTGTTCCCAGCACAACACTGGGGTCAACTACCAGTGCAAGGACGAGACGTTCCTGGAGGGAATAGTTTTGAAAACTACGATTATTATTATTAAAATATTAATCAAAAGCGGAAAAAATCATGTTATGTTGTTGTTGTTATTGTTGTTGTTGTTGTTGTTGTTATGTATTTATTACCCAACTCTCCTTCGGACTCCAGGAGGGGCATAACAGAGTTACTATTACTATTATTGTTGTTATTGTTGTTATTATTTTGCATGATTATTTTGTTTTTTGGTCTGAAGTTGCAAACAGCCTTTGCTTTCTTTTCCCGAAAACAGGCAGCAGAAGAAGAAGCGCCTGGGCCTCTTGGCTGCTATGGACACGCCCACCACCGAAACAGGTATGTATGTATATTGGGATGCAGGTACACGGCTTGTGGGTAGGACGATGGCCCAACCTCAGAGCCACAATCCCCACAATCCCCAGTCTGCAGAAGGGATGGGAGGTGTGGTACAATGTCAATCCTGGGATTACGCCCACAGTTGCAAAATTATAGCCTCCTGATGCCATTCCATAGAGTCCTGGGATATGCAGTTTCGTGGGGCTCAGCTCCAGCACTAGGGCTCTCTCTCAAAGCAGTCCCAACAGAGGGCCAGCCTCTGTTTAAAAGTCTCCAGAGAAGGGGACTCCATCACCATCATTGTTGTCATTATTAAAAAGGATTATTATTGTTTTTTATTATTATTATTATTATTATTATTATTATTATTATTATTATATCCTAGAGTTGGAAGGGACCCCAAAGACCATCTAGTCCAACCCCCTTCTACCATTATGCAGGGAAAGCAATATCAAAAGCCCTCCCAAAAGATGGCCATCCATCATCTGCTTAAAAACCTTCAGAGAAGAGGACTCCATTATCATAATATACGAGGGTTATAATATTATTATTATTATTATTATTATTATTATTATTATTATTATTATTAAATCCTAGAGTGGGAAGAGACCCCTAAAGGCCATCCAGTCCCACCCCATCCTCTGTTTAAAACCCTCCACAGACGCCATCCTCATCATTAATAAGAATTATTATTATTATTGAATAATAGTAGCGAAACGATTGCGGGGTCCCCGAAACCCAGGCCTGGCACGAGGCATGAGCTCCCTTTCCCGATCTCCGCGCTCGCTCTTCTCTTCCGCCTCAGCCGGGGAAGGTACATTCCCAGCTTTGTTTATTATATTATTTATACTCTTCTTGGCTTGCAGTTCTTTGCATTTAGTCCCAAACTGCCATATTAAAACGTAAACAATATCCAAAATGAGATAATCATTGAGGGCAGGCATGGGCCAACTTTGGCCCTCCCTCCAGGTGTTTTGGACTACAACTCCCACAATTCCTAACAGCCTACCGGCTGTTAGGAATTGTGGGAGTTGTAGCCCAAAACACCTGGAGGGAGGGCCAAAGTTGGCCCATGCCACTTTTAGGAGCTTTCCGGGTGTTCTGATCCCATTCTGCAAGAATAGGAAAGTGTGCGTTCGTGTGTTTACATCTCTTGTCTTGCTTGAACCTCTGCTTGCAAGCCAATGGCTGAGGATGGGTTGGAGGCGCTCGGCTTGTATTGACTTCTCCCTTTTTCTTTCTCTTGTCTCCTGTCTTGCCTTCAGCCTCTCTCCTGGGTAAGTCTCTCCGGCGGCCGTAGCCTTTCTTTCTTTCTTTCTTTCTTTCTTTCTCTCTCTCTCTGGGGCGCTGGCTGGCCCTTCTTGCCCAATCTCTGCTGCTTTCTTGCAGGCCGTGCTCCTCCTCCTCCTCCCCACATCACCCCCGACTCCTTCCTAGGACGCCCGGCTTTCAATAGCTACAGCTATGGCTCCTTCGGTGAGTCCTCTGCGCCCAGGCTCTTGCAATCGAGAGATGTGGAGGGGGGGTCTTTCAAGATCTATATACGTATAGCTATACGTATAAATGTATTGATCGGTCCTTTCCGACGCCGCTTTTGCAGACAACGGTTCCACCACCAGCACCGAAAACGTCACCGACAGCCTCCTCTCCACCGAAGCCTCCTACAGTTACACAGGTGAGGCGCCAAGGTGGGCCCTGCAGTTGGGACCCCCAAAGGCCATCCAGCCTGACCCCTTTCTGCTATAGACACCGTCAAAGCCCTCCCCACAGATGGCCTTCCAGCCAGTCGTGGAATTAAAGAACACTAGAGTTGGAAGGGACCCTCAAAGGTCATCCGGTCTGACCCCTTTCTGCTGTAGACACTATCAAAGCCCTTCCCACAGATGGCCACCCAGCCAATCATGAAGTCATAGGACCCTCAAGTTTACTATATTAAGGTCATGGAATCATAATATTCTCAAGTTGGAAGGGAACCCCAAAGGCTATCCATTCTGACCCCTTTCTGCTATAGACACCATCAAAGCCCTCCCCACAGACAACCACCCAGCCAGTCATGGAATTAAAGAACACTAGAGTTGGAAGGGTCTCCCCAAAGGCCATCCAGTGTGACCCGTTTCTCCTTAGACACAATCAAAGCTCTCCCCATAGATGGCCATTCAGCCAGTCATGAAGTCATAGGACCCACGAGTTGGAAGGGACCCTGAAAGGCCATCCAGTCTGACTCCTTTCAGCTGTAGACCTCAACAAAGCCCTCCCCACAGATAGCCATCCAGCCAGTCATGGAATTAAAGAACTAGAGTTCTAACTAGAGTTAGAAGGGACCCCCCCAAAGACCATCCAGTCTGACCTCTTTCTGCTATAGACACCAACAAAGCCCTCCCCACAGATGGCTATTCAGCCAGTCATGAAGTCATAGGAGCCTCGAGTTGGAAGGGACCCGAAAGGCCATCCAGTCTGACCCCTTTCTTATATAGACACCATCAAAGCCCTTCTCACAGACGGCCACGCAGCCTGTCATAGAATCATAGCATCATAAAAGTGAGAAGGAACCCCAAGGGCCATCCAGTCCAATCCCCTTCATCCAAGCAGGAAGGCACCATCCAACCCCTCCTGACTGATGGCCACTCAGCCTCTGTTTAAATACTTTCCAGTCCCAAACGCTATCTGCCATAAAAGACAACATCTAGGGTTGTGGAATCATAGTATCCTCGGGATGGAAGGGACCCCCAGAGGCCACCCAGCCTGACCCCTTTCTGCTCTAGACCCCATCAAAGCCCTCCACCCAGAGGCCACTCAGCCTGATCTCCTCCTTGCAGGCAGGAAGGGGCCGCCCTGTTCTCGTTTAACCCTCTGCTTTCCTTTCAAGGGCAGGACCCGTGCCAGCGCCGCCAGAGACACTGGGCCATCCCTATGGGTAGACCGTTAGGGGAACGGGGCTCCTCCAATGGCTGCAATCATCGGGGCCAGCGTCCGCTTCCCGGCGCTTGTATGGGAGCGGGGAAGGAAGGAAGGAAGGAAGGAAGGAAGGAAGGAAGGAAGGAAGGAAGGAAGGAAGGAAGGAAGGAAGGGGGCCGCCTTGGCCCAAGGAAGCGCCAGGAACCGGGCGCAAGTGCCCTTTCCCCTGGGCAAGCGGTGGCTTTCTGAGGAGGGTCCGGCCAAGCCGCGAATGGGTGGGACCGCAGAGAAAGAGGGGTGTTGCCTCTCCCATAGGGATGCACCAATATCAAGCCTCATTCTTATTAATATTTACATAATTTATTATTATTATTATTATTTCAAATTATTAATATTAATTAGCCCAAGGGATGAATACACTATGTAACACAACTTTTCTTCCTGGCTTATCAATGTCATCTTCTAATGGGTTCTATTATCAAAACATGGGGAAAGTTTACTAAACTGCACAAACTTTGTCTTTGAGGGAGGGAGGCTGGAAGGGAGGGACATCTTGCTGTAGCACATAATATTATAATTATGTATATTATTGTATTATAGCATAAAATTATAATTGCATTATATTATAATTATGTCACATAATATATAATTAATATATAATAATAAATATTATAACAATAAAATAATAATTCTGTGTAGCATATGATATTATAAACATGTTTGTTATGTTATATCATATTATAATTGTTTTACATTATAATTATATGATATATCATTAATAAATATTATAACAATAAATAGTATTAATAGTAATACTATGTAACATGATTTGATAAAATCATATTACATAGTATTATTATTCATGATTATATTTATTTATTGTTGTAGTATTTATTATTATATAGTAATTATATTTTATGATGTAATTGTAAAACAATTACAACATTATAATATACTAACAACTATTATTATATGATATATCATTATAAATATTATAACAATAAATAGCATTATTAATAATAGATAACATGATTTGATAAAATCATATTACATAGTATTATCCATTATTATATTTATTGTAGTATTTATTATTATATATTAATTATATTTTATATGGTGTAATTATAAGACAAATACAATATTATGATATAATATACTATAATTATAATATAATGTGCTATAGCAGGATGATGTACCACCTGCAGAAACAAAGTTTTTGCAGTTTAGTAAACTTTATGATAGAACCAATTAGGAAATGACATTTATAACCCAGGCAAAAAAAATATATTACATAGTGTGATATAATAATAATAATAATAATAATAATAATAATAATAATAATAATATATTACAATTATAATATAATAATCAATACATTTATAGTATAATAATATAATGTCCTATAGCTGGGTGTCCCTCCCTCTTGCAAAGACAAAGTTTGTGCAGTTTAGTAAACTTTTCCCATGTTTTGATGATAGAACCAATTAGGAAATGACATTGATAACCCGGGAACTAATTGTGTTACAGAGTGATATGGATTGACGCCACTTCCCATGGGGGCCCCCTCCTCAGAAAGCTACCCAAGGAAGCAGCAGTAGGTCATCTCTACAGGGTTTCCTACAAGGAAGCGTTAATTGCAAGGCCCGGGCCCTCAAAGCAGAGTGATTGCTGCTCGCCTGGAAAGGGAAGGGAGGAGAGGGTGACGGAAGGGGTCTTTCTTTCTCTCGCCTGCATCCACCCCATTGCGCTGCCTCCTCTAGTCAGTCACCCTATTGCTCTGGCCCCAGTTGAACGACTGAATCCATGAGGCTGGGTCTCCCTAAATCCCACAACCCTGCAGAGGTTATTTATTTATTTATTTATTTATTTATTTACAGTATTCATATTCCGCCCTTCTGACCCTAAAGGGGACTCAGGGCGGATCACAGAAAACCTATTCGGCAAACATTCAATGCCGATTATACACTGACAAAATAGACAACTGTACATAGAGGTATATAGATATTTTTCCCCATCTTCAGTATCTTGGAGGCTTACGTTCGGTTCTAGCCCTGGGGGGTGGGGGGTGCTGTCACTCCATCTTGCCAAGTTGCAGGAGCTCTGATCATCCCTCACTATTGGATGCCCCCATTTGGACTCACAGTACAAAAAAAATGGCATATATTTGAGTCCCATCCTCGATTCCAAGGAGCTCTCTGTGTTTGGCCATACCTGTCACCATCCGGACCTGGTGCCTTTCCCATGTTTCTCTCACTAGTTCCATCATTGTGATGGAAGAGCCAAGTTTGCCCATGTCAGCCCTAGATTCTTCCTTCCTGGAGGGGTTCAGGCCATGAATGGAGGGCCTAAAGGTTAAGGAAGACCCCCAAATGAAGGCCTCAGAGGTGACGCCAGTCCCTTTCTCTGCCCGCAGACCGCTCCTTGGAGAACATGGCTGGGCGGCCGAGGCTGGACTCGCTCAGCTCCGTGGAGGAGGACGACTACGACACTTTGGCCGACATTGACTCGGATAAAAACGTCATCCGCACCAAGGTGGGCATTCACGCAGGTGGACAGGCATTAGATATGAGTAAATACGATAATTTGGAGATGGGGACGAGGATGCGAGCGGCAGAATATGGCTTGGCTGACTTGACTGAGCCACATCAAAGAACAATCTGCGGGACTTTGTGGGCCTCGCTATGGTCCACTCGCATCCAAGTTTGTTGGACTTTGGGGTGGCGAATAGCCCAGAATTCATACCAGAAAGATAATAGGAGCTACAGATCAGGGCTTGGAGGCAGCTCCGGACAAGTAGCCTATAGGAAAGAGAGCCAAAGCTGACACATCTCTCTCTCTCCGTCCTGTCTCTCCTCCCAGCAATACCTGTATGTGGCAGACCTGGCTCGCAAAGACAAGCGAGTGTTGCGGAAGAAGTACCAGATCTACTTCTGGTGAGAAGGGACGGGGATGCATGGGGGGGGGGGAGGCGAGGGGCACCCCTTTCCTCCCTCCTTCCTCTCATCCTCCTTTCCCCATTCTGCCCCTCGCAGGAACATCGCCACTATCGCGGTCTTCTACGCTCTGCCGGTCATCCAGCTGGTCATCACATACCAGACGGTAATGGAAGATGCCCCTCTGGCCCCTGGGCATTTCGAGGGATGGGCAGGGAGGCCGGGAGGCTGTCCTGAGGCAGATAAATAAGAACATCTCAGTGTGGCCCCATTTACTAGACTCTGCTGCTGCCAGAATGGAGAGGAAAGTGGGGAGTTGGGGTTGCCCTACTGGTCCAGTTCTGTGCATTGATTATGTTTGCCCTTCCTTCTATCATTCCATCTGTCCATCCATCTATCCATGTTTCCCTTTATCCACTCATCTATCCATCTTTCCTTCCTTCCATCTGTCCATTCATCTGTCCATGCATTGTTCTGTTCATCCATCAACCCACCTATCCATGTTTCACCCATCCTTCCTTCCTTCCATCTGTCCACCCATCTATTAATCCATGTTTCCATCTATCCACCTATCTATCCTTCCTTCCTTCCATTTGTCCATCCATCCGTCCATCCATGCTTCCGTTCATCCATCAATCCACCTACCCATGCTTCTGTCCATTCTTCCATCCATTCACCTTTTCTTCCTTCTCTCCATCTATCCATAATTTCTTCCTTCCACCCATACACCCATTCTTCCTTCTATCTGTCCGTTCTTCTGTTCATCCATCAACCTATCCATGCCTCCATCCATTCCATCCACTTACCCATCTATCCCTCCTTCCATCTATTCACCCCATCTGTCCTTCCTTCTCTCTTTCCTTCCTTCCTTCTCTCCTTCCTTCCTTTCTCCTTTCCTTCCTTCTCTCCATCTATCCATAATTCCTTCCTTCCACCCATACACCCATGCTTCCATTAATCCATCCTCATCTATCATGCTTCCATCCATCCACCCTTCCATTCAACCATCCATTCTTCCTTCTCTCCATCTATTCACCCATCCAACTGTCTTTCCTTCCTTCCATCCTTCCTTCTTTCCAACCATGCCTCCATCTGCCCACCCACTCACCTACCTTACCTTCCTTCCTGCCATCCTTCTCTCTATCCATCCATCCTCTCTTCCCTCCTTCTACCCATCCATGTTTCCATCTATCCTTCCATCTATCAATCCTTCCTTCCGTCTGTCGAGCCATCTATCCAACCATGCATTCTTCTTTCCATCCATCAACCCACCTATCCATGCTTCCATCTATCCATCCATCAATCCATCCACCCATCTATTCCTCCTTCCTTCTCTACATCTATCCATCCATCTACCCTTCCATTCATCTATCTATCTATCTATCATCTATCTATCTATCTATCTATCTATCTATCTATCTATCTATCCATCCAACCATCCATACATCCACCCATCCAACCCACCCTTCCTTCCTTCCTTCTCTCTATCCATCCACCCTCTCTTCCTTCCTTCCTCTCTTCCCTTTCTGCCTGGCAGGTGGTGAATGTTACCGGGAACCAAGACATTTGCTACTACAACTTCCTGTGCGCCCACCCTCTGGGCAACCTCAGGTAGGGGACTCGGGATGGGGTCTGGGGGTCCTAGGAGGGTTCTACTCTGCTCAAAGGTTACCCTGAGCCATGCTACCCTCCTCCTCCTCTTCGCAGCGCCTTCAACAACATCCTCAGCAACCTGGGCTACATCCTGCTGGGCCTCCTCTTCCTGCTCATCATCCTCCAGCGCGAGATCAACTACAACCGGGCATTGATGCGCAACGACCTTCAAGCTGTGGTGAGTCTCAACATTAGAAATACACAGGGCTCTCTGAATTGAATGGGGGGGAGGGCTACAAGTCCCATCATCCTCTGTCAGTCCCAGTGCTCTCTGGGTGTGGGAGCCCTCTTGGAAAATACATTCAAACATAGATCCATACATACCTACGTACAAACATATATTCACCTTTCTATAAATAATAATAATAATAATAATAATAATAATAATAATAATAATAATACCTTTATTTATATTCTGCCTATCTGCCTACCGGCTGTTAGGAATGGTGAGAGTTGGAGTCCAAAACACCTGGAGGGCTGTAGTTTGCCAATGCCTGATATAGATTGTGTGTGTGTGTGTGTGTGTATGGGTAAATAAGACCCTGTTGATGGAGCTTGCTCTAACTCTTCCTAGGAGTGTGGCATCCCCAAGCACTTTGGCCTCTTCTATGCCATGGGCACGGCCCTCATGATGGAGGGGCTCCTCAGCGCCTGCTACCACGTCTGCCCCAACTACACCAACTTCCAGTTCGGTGAGTGCG